TCAATTCCCCTCTGATTGACCATAAAGCCCAGGAATTTACCAGACCCCACACCAAAGGCGCACTTCTCAGGGTTGAGCTTCATGTGATAGGACCTCAGGACGTTGAAAGTTTTTTGGAGGTGATCAATGTGGTCTACTGCTGCAAGGCTCTTTACCAGCATGTCATCCACGTACACCTCCATTGTTTGCCCGATCTGAGACTGGAACATCTTGTTCACCAGCCGTTGGTAGGTTGCTCCAGCGTTCTTTAGCCCAAAGGGCATGACCCTGTAGCAGTATGTCCCCTTTGGCGTGATGAATGATGTCTTCTCTTGGTCTGGGGGATGCATGCTAATCTGGTTGTACCCCGAGTATGCATCCAGGAAAGTGAGCAACTCATGCCCAGCGGTGGCGTCGATGAGGAGGTCAATCCGGGGCAGTGGATAACTATCTTTTGGGCATGCCTTGTTCAGTTCTGTGAAGTCGACACAGAGACGCCACTTCCCATTAGCCTTAGTAACCATTACTACGTTGGAGAGCCACTCTGGATACGCCACTTCCCTGACTGCTCCGTTATCAACCAGCTTTCTAATCTCCTTGTCCATGGCTTGGGCCCTTTCAGTGGAGGCTCCCCTTAACTTTTGGCGAACAGGCTTGTACCGTGGATCGACATTGAGGCGATGGGTAGCTACTTCCGGGTTGATGCCCTCAAGGTCCTCATGCGACCAAGCAAAGATGTCCATATTACGCTCCAAAAATTCAATCAACAGGGGAGCCAGCTCTTCAGAAAGGGAAGAGCCAATGTAAATTCTTCTGTCTGGGTGCTCCTTTTCTAAGACCACAGGGATGAGTTCCTCGACTGGTTCTCCTCTTTCTGTTGCGGAGTCATCCCTTGGGTCAAGGACCTCAACCTGCAATGCTTCTTGGGGCTTCCTAGCCTTCATAGAGGATACATAGCACTCTCTGGCTGTTATTTGGTCCCCTTTGACCTCTCCGACTCCATTTAAGGTTGGAAAGCGGAGAACGAGATGGTAGGTAGAGGGCACAGCTCTTAATGTGTTAAGAGCTGGCCGCCCTAATATGATGTTGTAGGCTGACGGGCATTCTATTACCAGGAAATTGACCATGACTGTGGAGCTTCGGGGTGTTACTCCGGCGGTGACGGGAAGTGTGATGGATCCAAGGGGATACACTTTTTCCCCTGAGAATCCAATGAGGGGTGACCTGATTGGCTGTAGCCTCTCCCTGCCCAGGTTGAGCTTGTCATAGGCCTCTGCAAATAGGATATCTGCAGAGCTGCCACTATCTACCAGGATCCTGTGCACATGAAAGTTGGCCACCGTCATGGTGAGCACCAAGGGGTCATCATGGGGGTGTTGGATTTCCTCCAGGTCCTTGTTTGAAAAAGATATGACCTCGTCGCTTTCCTGCTTCGGCACCTTAGATGGGCGCATCTCGTAGACATGTCTTGCCTTCCTGGCATGGGCCTTCATCGCGGAAAGTGATTCTCCTCCACCTGCTAGTCCCCCTGAGATAGTGTGGATTTCCCCACAGGCTGCTGATCTTCCTGGTTGTGAGGTTGTGGTACACGTTCCCTTCCAGCAACGTACTGACGCAAGTGACCACGCTGGATGAGCTCCTCAATTTGCCTCTTGAGGTCGTAGCAATCGTCGGTGTCATGCCCGTGGTCACGATGGAAGCGGCAATACTTGTTAGGATTTCTGCGATTTGGAGGAGACTTCATTTTTCCAGGCCACTTTATCGCGGGGTCATCCTGGATCTGGAATAGGATGTGTTCCACGGAAGCATTGAGGGGAGTGAAAGGTTGACGGTTCCTCTGAGGAGCAGGACCTAGCCGGTCCTTGACAGGGACTTTCTCTGTCCTGCCATATTTGTTGCTGGTTTCCTTCTTATCGTCCTTCTCTCTTTCCTTCCTTTTCTCACCCGCTCTGGAAGACTCACCCCGCCTGGCCCTTGTGATGTCTTCTGCGTTTATGTACTTTTGGGCCTTGGCTAGCAGCTCTGGCATGCTCTTCGGTGGGCGCTTCAGAACTGAGAAAAGGAAACTTGATGAACGGAGGCCACCCAAGAAGGCGGTCATCGTCACCTTGTCGTCAGGTTCATCAACTTGGAGTACCTCCTCGTTAAAACGAGTGAGGTAACTCCTCAGGCTCTCCTCGCGGTCCTGCTTTATACTAAGCAGGTGCGTAACTGGCTTCTGGTGGCGACGCCCTCCTATGAAGTGTGAGACGAATGATCTGCTAAGCTCGGCAAAAGAGGTAATAGAGGCGGGGGAGAGCTTAGCAAACCACTGTCGGGCAGACCCCTTTAATGTGGTTGGGAATGCCCTGCACATGATTTCGTCTGGTACGTTGTGCAATTGCATCAAGGTCTTGTAAGTGTCGAGGTGGTCCAGTGGATCCTTTGTTCCATCAAAGGTCTCCACAGATGGCATTTTGAACTTCTGAGGGAGGGGGTAGTTTGCTACATCAGGTTTGAAAGGGGTATCAGTACGCCTTACCAGGTGGTCAACAGTCTCGGGTCCTTGTGCCTTCATGGCGTTGAAGACATCACCGAGTTGATTCTGTACCTCCTTTATCTTCTCGTCCCAATGATTGGGGGCTCCTATGGAATGATCATGGAAGTGGCTTCCATGCCCCATGCTTTGGTTTTCACCCTCATCCTCCTGGAGATAAGGGTCCTCTCCCTGGAAAGCAAGGGGAGGGGGAGGTGCAGCTCCCTCATGTTGGGCTTCCTGAAGTGGGGTGCCCAATGGGGCACCCGGGCGTGGAGCAACAGGGCGTGGTGCTCCTTGATGTCCAGGATGTGGAGCTCCTTGGGGTGCTCTATGTTGTGCACCTCTGTGGGGCCCTCCATGTTGTGCACCTCCGTGTGGTGCTCCACCTTGGGGTCCTCCATGTTGTGCACCTCCGTGTGGTGCTCCTCCTTGTCCAGCAAGTATGAGTTGCAGTAACTGTTGGTTTTGAGCAACCAGTTGCTGCATGGTCTCCAATATTTGTTGGGGATTCGGGGCTGGAGTATCCGGAACAGGGTTGATAGGCGGGGGAGCAACCTCCTCCTCTCGTGGAGGGTTGTTTCGTGTTGGTTCATGGATCGGGTAGTGATCGCCATTAGTTAATGGATGTAATGTTCAGGAGTGAGAATTTTGTCGATTTCCCACAGACGGCGCCAAACTGATGATGCACAAAAATGGTTTTGCACACCACCTGTCAAGTGTAGGTAATAAATGCAATGAAATCAATGAAAAAAATTAAGAAGACACAATTTATAGTGGTTCGGTCAATTCGACCTACGTCCACTCTTCAATGGCTTCAGTTGCCGGGTATTTTATTGATTCAAAGGTATGGAGAATGGAGATACAAGCTTTGAGAGAGAGAGAATGAAGAATCAAAGAAAATAGTAATCTCGGTAGTCGGTTCGTCTTCTGTAAGTCTCTGGTGGGGCGTGATCCCTTTCTCTACCAGATTGGAGCTATTTTATTGTAGCTAAGAGATCATTCTTGTGGAGATCATGACATATCCTCAAGGCTTCTTTATCGCAGCTCAGAGATTATCCTTGTGGAGATCACGACTTATCCTCAACGTAAGGAGGAGGTTGGGGAGTTCTTCATGGAACGTGGTCAAAGATTGGACCGTTTCCTTCGGTGGTACAGATAAGCTTCCCGTGCTCTCTTCTTGGTGACGTGCTAAGCAAGAAGTCTAACCGGCCTTGGACTGTCTTGGACTTGGTGGATGGACCGTTTCCTTTGGTGGTGCAGATAAGCTTCCCGTGCTCTCCTCTTGGTGACGTGCTAAGCAAGAAGTCTAACGGCCTTGGACTGTCTTGGACTTGGTGGATTTGGACCGTTTCCTTTGGTGGTGCAGATAAGCTTCCCGTGCTCTCCTTTTGGTGACGTGCTAAGCAAGAAGTCTAATCGGCCTTGGACTGTCTTGGATTTGGTGGAATCACAATGAGGTTGGACTCCTCAACTGGGGTTGGACTTTAACACATAAATTGATTATTTGGGCTTAACCCATCAACTACTATTGGTGGTACAGTGGTAACCTCTTTACACAATAGCTAATGCTATTTTCATCAAATTTTCTCAAAATTTTCATATAAAAGGGAGGATTAACTAATATTTAGTTTTGTATGAATTTAGTCAATCCACGTGGTTCCAAATTGACCCAACTTTCATTTTAAGAGTTTGGTTACTCTAAAATTATTTATTTTAATTATTTGCTTCGATTGCATACTGATCATGAACCCTAGCTTATTTTTTATTTTTATTTTTGATCAGAATCCTAGCTTATGTTTAAGAAAACAAAAAAGGCCAAAGTGAAGGAGTTACTTAAAAATTTGTATTAATTTATATTTTGATAATGTACTTTGAATGACATAATTCAATAACATTATTTAAAGTGTAACTTTAAAAACTTGAGACTATGTCATCTAATACATCATTAGGTCAAGAAATTTGATACCATCATCCAAGTAAAAAACAAGAAAGAAACATGGAGGCTTATTCAAAGATATATATATATATATATTTTGGAGAATTTTGACAGTGCAAAAAATTTTATTGATTAAAAATTAAATTGTATCTAACTAGGGGGACGTATGTACTTTATACCTCAATACAATCTAATTACAATGCAAAAAAAAAAAATTAAAAAAATTCTAATGCATTATTTACATCAAAATACTAAAAAATATTCTAGAAAGTATAATTTCCTAAAGTGCTTCTATCCTAGACAGCCTTTTTGAAATTTCAAATGAAACCAACTGCTGATTATAATGTATTAGATTCTTAAATTAGGTTTCAACAGTATTAATTACTCTTTATATTAAGATACTCAAAAAATTTAGAAACAAAAATTGGTTGTGGAATTGAGTTTGAGTTATTTGTGTCCTTTGATTGTAAGGATTATAAACTAACATATAATAATTACATAAATAAAATTACATGTGTAAAATTTTATTAAATAAAAAATATTTGTAATTATCAAAAAAACAGTTTTGGGTACCTGAAACTCTTATAAATAGTGTCATTCATACTAGAGTAACCAGACCTTAGATCATCCCCAACAAACAGCCGCAGCAAAGAGAAATGGAGAGCACCCTCTCCAAGTCTCCTCTTCACACACTTAGGTGTATGCGTCGCACACCCTTCAACCGTTTGTTCGCCGGAGTTTATACCACCGCCATCTTTGCTCTACTCTACCACCATGTACTCATACTTCTCCAGTCCACCACCTTAGTCTCCTTCTTTATATCCACATCCATGTTAATCTCTGATATTCTTCTGGGATTCATGTGGTCCACCACACAGTCCTTTCGCATGCGCCCAATCCTTCGCCAACAATTCCCTGAAAACCTTGAGAAAGTCATCGACCGGAAGGATTTTCCGGCGATGGACATCTTTATATGCACTGCAGATCCTTACAAAGAGCCGCCGATGACCGTTGTGAACACGGCCTTATCGGTGATGGCTTATGACTACCCACCGGAGAAGCTTTCGGTGTATGTTTCAGACGATGGAGGCTCGGAGTTCACTCTCTTTGCTTTTATGGAGGCTGCAAAGTTTGGGAAGCACTGGTTACCCTACTGTCGGAACAATAACATCGTAGTGAGGTGTCCAGATGCTTATTTCAGATCAAACTACCCTAGGAGTTCAGAGACACAGAAAATCAAGGTGAATTCTTCATTAAGCAATAATTGTGTTCATCTATTTGAGTTTTGCATTGGACTAATTTTAATGTTTTGATTCTTTTTCCTTTCCTTTTGGCCTTTTGTCTAATACTATTCCATTTAGTTCTTGAAGTTTTTTCTGCATACTATTAGAATTT